ATTGATCCAAAGTGTCTCCGCCTGATCTTCTTTGGGCGGACATACTTCACTTATCCTTGAGAGTTTTATCGCACAAAAGTTATTCATGTTTTTTTTTCTCTTCGTTTGTCTTCTTCGTTGTATGTCCCTGTTTTTCCGATTCCTTTCTTCTATCATTCTTATAATCAGAAAGATAGATGTATTTAGAAAAGAGAATTATACGACGATAGACAAGCTGACAACTCTTTCAAAAATAAAAAAAATATATGAGAAACAGTACGAAAACATAATGATCACAACAATTTTCACAGTTCTTCAATTTGATGGCATTCGATAACTTGAATCAAGGAGGATTATTAATTGACTCAACAAGCTTATCATAGAAACAAGTTACCCAACATATCTATACTCTTAAGCGAAGTTGAATAAATTTGCAAACATAATGCAAAATGCAAGTGTGGCAAGTTTCATAACTCTGGTTCATTAGAAGACGAGGCACCAAAATTAAAGAGAACTTCTAAAATTCATAAGCCACCAGATTCTCATTCAAATATCAAAATTTATGATAGAATCCCAATTAACATCTTTCGTTATTATGAAATTCTTAATAATTTGATCATGGCGCTCTCTTAATACATGATAATTTACAAATGTTGATATTTGAGATGATCTATATGTAATTATTATTATTATATTTTTGTTACTAAATCCAAGAGCTATTTGAAAAGGGCCAGATTATGTTCCCCACCCACCAACAGTAAACAATATATCCCCGTGATTGCTTTTCAAAAAGCATCTAAAGTTTACGCAGCTGAACGTAGACAACAACAGTACTGTTTCAGGGGCTAAAATTGAATGGTAATAAATATAACTAGATTTACATGATAATAATTGCAACGCCTAATTTTAACCCGTATTATTTGGGAAAAAAATATTACATGAAATTACGTCGCGGATGTGATCGACCCGATAACATAAGAGAATATTCCCCTCGTGTTATTTAGGTGTTATTGTGTGTTATTCAAGTATTATTGATGTTTATTGTGTTATTATAACACCAGAAATATTCCCATAACACAATAATACTTGAATAACACACAATAACACCTAAATAACACGAGGGGAATATTCTCTTATGTTATCGGGTCGATCACATCCGCGACGTAATTTCATGTAATATTTTTTTCCCAAATAATACGGGTTAAAATTAGGCGTTGCAATTATTATCATGTAAATCTAGTTAAATTTATTACCATTCAATTTTAGCCCCTGAAACAGTGCTGTTGTTGTCTACGTTCAGCTGCGTAAACTTTAGATGCTTTTTGAAAAGCAATCACGGGGATATATTGTTTACTGTTGGTGGGTGGGGAACATAATCTGGCCCTTTTCAAATAGCTCTTGGATTTAGTAACAAAAATATAATAATAATAATTACATATAGATCATCTCAAATATCAACATTTGTAAATTATCATGTATTAAGAGAGCGCCATGATCAAATTATTAAGAATTTCATAATAACGAAAGATGTTAATTGGGATTCTATCATAAATTTTGATATTTGAATGAGAATCTGGTGGCTTATGAATTTTAGAAGTTCTCTTTAATTTTGGTGCCTCGTCTTCTAATGAACCAGAGTTATGAAACTTGCCACACTTGCATTTTGCATTATGTTTGCAAATTTATTCAACTTCGCTTAAGAGTATAGATATGTTGGGTAACTTGTTTCTATGATAAGCTTGTTGAGTCAATTAATAATCCTCCTTGATTCAAGTTATCGAATGCCATCAAATTGAAGAACTGTGAAAATTGTTGTGATCATTATGTTTTCGTACTGTTTCTCATATATTTTTTTTATTTTTGAAAGAGTTGTCAGCTTGTCTATCGTCGTATAATTCTCTTTTCTAAATACATCTATCTTTCTGATTATAAGAATGATAGAAGAAAGGAATCGGAAAAACAGGGACATACAACGAAGAAGACAAACGAAGAGAAAAAAAAACATGAATAACTTTTGTGCGATAAAACTCTCAAGGATAAGTGAAGTATGTCCGCCCAAAGAAGATCAGGCGGAGACACTTTGGATCAATATCCACAAAAGAGACTTATGTCGACTACCCAAACCAAAGATTCAGGTATGCATGCCTATTATGGGGTCCAGAGTACTTCTAAGAGGATTTATACCACTTGGTTATTTACATTTTCGGGGTTGCTTGAGAATACTCTAGATTTAAATGGGTTTTGCTTATATTAGTTGTGACAACTAGCACAAGGCTATCGAAGGACAATTATTTCGCATGGGAATACTCTGGTTCTTTCAAAGCTCCCACTAAACCACGGACCAAAGAATGAGTCTCTCGTTGTCCCCACATGGGTTGTTTGGTCGGCGTGGTCACTAGACCCCAAAAAAGTTGGGCTTCTCGAGAAGCTCGCCAAGGGGTTCAGGGCCTCGTGGTACTTCCAAAGGATCGAATGTCAGTAAGTCATGATCCTTGGACCTCCGTAAGTATCGTAAATGCGTCTCAAAAGAGTTCGAGAGGTCGAACCGTCTATGTATCGTTAAAAAGAGCTGTTCCAACATGAAATTCGTTTATCTGGGCCTTGGACTTAAGGTCCGAACACAGTATGGGGTACTCTAGTTAGCGGTCTGCGCCACAAAAATTTCCATGTTAGCGGGATACAACCCTGTGTCACAGGGACGACCGTCAACCTGGAGGATATCAGAGGCCATGCCAGCTTGGCCATGATCAACTCGAGGCACCACTACAACGGTGCAAACCCCAATCAGAGTGTTTTATCTCTCAGCGAAGATGCCCTACGTATGTCGCATAAAAAATGGATGCCAATAGCCACGTTGAGATTTTCATCTTATTTTTGTCATCCACTAAGGAGCCAATAACAACTTAATATATGCTTCAAGTTGTATCCTTATGTTGACATCTTAATTTGCAAAAAAAAAAAAAAATTCATTAACGACTAAATTTTTATGATTGGCATCTATTCATCGAAAGTTTGTAACAAATTTACAGCTCATTTAATCTGCAATTGCACTTTAATTTAATTTTGTATGGACAACCATCTGAGGCGACAATGATTTCATATATAAATGAATTTGTGATATAAGCTACTTGTCATTATAAGAGATTCTTTTTATTATTATAATGAAATATTTTCTGTGACATAATTGTGTTATGTTTGCAACACATATTTATATAATCACGAAAAAGATGCCAGAAAAAACATGCATTTGTAGCAGTAATGAATTTACGGTTTAATTAAGCTGTTTATAAAACCATCATAAAAATACCCAATAACAATACCAGTTTACTCATCCCTCGTTTTCATCTTCCCAATTGTTACATATACTTTTTCTTCCAGTAGCGACTTCTCTAGAACTGTGATGGCATTGCTCTTCCAAAAAGGTCGCTGGTCATACTCTTCCAATTCATCTTGTCCTCCTATGAAAGAAGAGAAGTAGACATACAAAATGTTAGAGATTGTATGCATAAGATATTAATACATTCTTTATCACAATCAATATGTGCCACCTCATACAACTTGCATTATGCATCCTCATCAATGTATGAGGATGAGACTTCATATGGCCGACTAAAAATTTTATGAATACCGAATCACCATTGCTTGACTATATTCATCCAACCTCCATCGTTTGTCCTTTATCGTTTGACCTTCAGTGCTTATTTATAGTTTCGTGACCTCCATTGCCCGTCTATAGTTCCATCAAATCTTAACACCTGATGAAAATTGTCAGGCCTCCATCACAATCTATGGTCACCAGACTTCTACTGCTAAGATTCAACGATTAATTAATATTTTTTAAGATTTTAAGATTTAAGGCTTTGTTTGGCGCAGCTGCAGCTTCCTAGCTTTTCAGTTGTGTTTCTGGTAAGCCTTGCCCATGGAAGCTGTTGCGGGTAAGCTGGTTGTTTGTTTGGTGCAGCTGTGTGAAAACAGCTGTTGGGCAGCTGTTTTTTGGAAAAATGTCTGTTCTATCCCTGTTTAGTATAACTATTTAAAACAGAACTATGATAATCATATATTTGATACTTCAGAAGCAAAAGTTCATTTCAAAACAGAACAAAAGCTCATATACTATTTATACTATTTTCGTAGCTTAAATGCAACTATGCAAAAAATAAAAATAATTGTAATTAGTACTGACAAAAAAAAATAACGATAAGTACCAGGACAACTAGCAACCATGATTGACAAAGTAACTATGATCTTTAGAAAAGGCTGAGCTTCATGTTGTTGATAGTACATGATGCTCTTCTTGCGAACCATCTCAATATGTTTGAACTGTCAAAAGCCAACAATAATTTGAATGATGCATACCAAATGATATATTTTAAGAAAAAAAAATTTAACCTTCCTTGGTTACTCCAAAAATTGTGAGAATTGCTGCAGGGGCAGAAGACATTGGAAGGAGCTTTTTGTTGCTCTCGCCGATCACATAATCAACCTCTAACTGTTGAAATACTATATCAAAGAAGATAAAGGAAAAAAAGGTCAATTAATAAAACATCTACTTGGTAGAAATGTAAGAAACAGAGGAATGCAAATGCTTCAAATTACGTATATTCATGGAATATGAAAGATAGGAAGGGGAAAGAGGAGGGCGTACTTAAGGAGGGCCTCTTCGTCCTCACCATACTTACGGAGGGTTTCTTCCAGAAAAAGTCTTCGTCCATTAGGGTCGTCTTCCATCTCGTTGAACCCAGCCATTCACCGTCGGTGAAGATTAGGGTTGCCATTT